AACATTAGGAAACAGAACTTCAAGAACACGGCCACACAGCCCGGAAGACCCACACCAGCCACTCTGGTGTCAAGTTATATGCAGCTCTAAAGATCAAAACTAGCACTTCTGGATTGTACCTGGAAGCTAATAGTGCAGGGCCTGAAGCACATGTATAATAAGCTCATCTACCCACCAGCAACCAGGGTATGTTCTGGGCTGGTTAAAGCTTCTGAATAATCTTTAAAGCCAGCTCCATGTTGGACATGTTGCAGTGGTCCAAGAGAGTAGTAATGAAGGCATGAGTTACTGCTTCAAGACCCTCTTGCTCCCTGTAGGGCTGCGGTTGGCAAACAGGAAAAGCTGGACAAAGACACATACACACCCCATCACAACCTGTGCTTGCCTATCTGGAAGTAGCCGGGAGTCCAGGAGGGCCCCAAAGTCACAGACACATTCCTCCTTGTGTCCCTGCCTAGAACAGAGCCTACAATACATCTAACATCCTGCCATCTCCCAGTTTGGAAGAGAAGAAAGGACTAGAGTGTGCGCTAGTGATTGTTAGACCTTTTGAAGTCATTGTTTTGGCCATATCAGTATTATGTATGTACCGTATCACACAGTGATTACATGTACTTAATGGCAAAAGGACTGCGTTCAGTCCTGCTGTTGGACAAGGTAGACCTTTTTCTCAGGATGCTGAACTAAACTGTTCAAAGATATTGAGCATGACATTTAGAGTAGAGCTTTGCAGCCATTTTAAATGCTGATCATGATTGTGTGAGTGCCAGTGTGTTAATTAAATTTGTAAGTTGCCCAGATAAAGTCATGTATTTTGTGGATTATGGGTATTAATTACAACATTTTTTAAATGGCTAAAATATCTCCAGATTGCATTAAATATTAAATATGATAGACTAGGCAGTCCATCCCTTCTTGTATCATATCAGCTTTCCATTTATTTATTTATTTTTGGGGGGGTGGAGAGAGAGTGTGCATAAGTCAGATGAATCAGGGAGCCTGAAAACACTATTGGAGATGTGTCCATTGGTGCTCTAGTAATTCTGAACATTATATTGTCCTCTTGGTTTCACACTCTTTTGTTTTAAACCTAACAGATATTGTATGAAGTGACTTCAGTGCTGTAGACGTTCAGAGAACAATGTAGTTTTATGTTCTGTTCTTGTTTAGGTAAACAGCTTTCTAGTCCTGCTTTATTGTATTACATTGATTGCTATGAGAAGAATTTGCTGTTTCTATCTTGACAAAGTTATTCCATTGTAGGTTGATCCTTATAGGGATACACCAATTGTCAACAGTTTTCTCAGCTCCTACCTTTTACTGTGTGGCCTTCACATCTATTTCTGTTCTGTGGCTTTGTAGCTTCAGCTGATGGAAGTTCTTATTGTGAAATAGCATTGAAGCTTTTTTTTTTTTTTTTTAAGAAAGGTAATAAGCATCTGGGTATTCTCCAACTAAAGCTGAACACAACTACTTAGGGTGCCTCAGTAATTGAATGAGTAAATTGGCATAAATAAATAAATTAGCATACACTTAGCACAAAGGATCATGATATTTTATATTAAGTCAGTAACACTTGTCAGATAATATAATTCTGTATGAATGCTGAATTGGCCACTATCTGAAATGCTAATACTGTAGTCATTTCTCTGTATGTGTTTCTTTCCTACTGTTACAAGAAATCAATTCAATGTTTTCCTCTTCCTCCTGCTGAAAGAAGAATTTATAAGGTCAAGGTAAAGAAGAAGGTGCATAAAGATGAGGGATGGATTCTGCATGTGTGGATTTGATGCTTGTACAGGTAGTCCTTGGTTAATGACTGCCTCTTATGACAGTGCTGAAAAAGCAGATTTGCAACTGGTCCTCAAACTTATGGCTGTCGCAGCCTCTCCACAGTCACATGATCATGATTTGGGTGCTTTTCCACCAGTGCACATTTATGACAGTTGTGGCATCCCAGGGTCTTGTGATCACCATTTACAACCTTTGCATCCGGCTTCCGGCAAGCAAGGTCAATAGGGAAGCCAGCAGTAAGACGTGAGCCACAGTTAAGTGGTGTCGTGCTTAAGTGAAGTGAATGGGTAATTCACTTAACGATCACAGCGGAGCAGATGTCAAATCAGGCACGGTCACATGTTTCACTTAATGACCACATTGCTTATGACAGACTTGCTGGTCCCAGTTGTGGTTGTTAAATGAGGACTATTTGTATTGGACCACCATCCAACCACCCAATTTATTGTGCTAATTAGTCTCATTGGGTACAGCCCGTAGCTGACTTTGAAAGCTAAGCAGATCAGTGATGAGGGACCACCTGGGGATTGCAGAGTTTCTAGACTGGACTGGAATGTCAAAGCAAACTAAAATATCCTGGGTAAAGACACTTCCATAATGCTGCCAAGAAAATAGCACAAATGCATTAGAAGGACTTGAGCTCAACTCATAGGGGTCTTTAAGTCACATTCAATGCTGATGTGATCCTCACCCCCTCAGTTGTCCCCCCTCCCCAAATAAAACCCCAGGGACTAATATTAGCCATCAGAATTTGATGGCTAAGTGTGTGGGAACAGGCAAAAGAAAAGAAAAGAAATTGAACATTAAAAATAAACAGGAAGTATGCTTTTACAACTGATGAACTTCAGAAATATTTTGAAGTTAATTTGTTTAAGTTTGAAGTTGATTTTTTTTCCACAGCTGAGCTTAATGACAAATTGAGCTGGATTTATTTTTTTAAAAGAAAACTACTGATGATTTGTTATAAATATTTCAGTTTTAAAAGATGGGCAGTAATATATATATATGAGAGTATGTTGTTTAGGATGTTAAGACATTGACGTACTTCTTCTGGATCTCTTGAAAGTATATGGTTGGCAACTGTTGGAGGTAGAGACTTTGTTTAATAGATTAAATATATAAATACTTTATCCTTTTGGCCACATTCTTTATGTACTCAGTACAGCATCAGAATATGAAATATATATATTTTTTGCTTCCCAAAACCATGGGGTAGAGAATCTTTCAGAGGTCTGCTTTTCTCAGAAGGCAGCAGAGCTATCCAGCAATTCATTGGATAAGATAATTCAAGGTGTTAGCCTTCATCTATAAAACCTTTGTGGCTCCTGGCCTAGTCATCTACAGGACTGTTCTCTCATGTTAATGTCTGTCCATCCTGTTAGTTGTTGAATTATGTTATCTTATGGGACTTTGGAGCATGCCATTTGTGTGGCCACAATTGCCCTTGGGGTAGTAACCCCCACCAGTCATCACGGCCCTGAGCGTGTTGTTGTTTAGCTAGGATATTATTAATATGATTGGTCACACAGTCAGCCAGATGTTTACACTGGATTTTGTCCCCCTATTGAGTCCTTCCTAAGGACCTGGAATAGGCAGATGTTGTTGTTTAATAATACAGATAATCCCCATGTTAAGAATGCCTGGCTATGGGCGACCCATAGTTAAGAACAGAGCCTACTGTAGCAAAATTTGAGTTAAATACACAATGAGTTAAGTTAAATACACAGTGGTTCAAGTTAATTGCACAATACTAGTTATACAGCATTATACAATAATACTGTTTGGGCTTACATACAAATTCAACTTAAGGACAAACCTTGGGAATGGAACCCATTCTTAAACTGGAGACTACCTGTATCAAAGGTATTGTTGCAGGATATAAGCTGTTTAAAGTAAAGCTGCCTTTTGCAATGGACTGATGATGATTTTGTCAATGCCAGTGGTTTTCAAGTGGTGCTCCAGATGTTTTGGAATTGCACTCAAGGTGCCTATTACTGTTGGTAATATCTTTGCTTTCTTTTGCCACAGTTGTTCTACTTATATTTGCAGGTGGTCCTCCTCCTCCTCCTCCTCCTCCTCCTCGTCATTGTTGTCGTTGTCATCATCGCACAGTCAGCCAGATCTTTAGATTGGATTTTGGCATTTTTATCCACCTATCAAGTCCTTCCCAAGGACCTATTGTTATTGATCACACAGTCAGCCAGATTATTATTACTATTTTCCATTGAAACATGACTCTTTTAACAGACACAGCTTATAAATTGAAGAAACAAATATACGCATGTCATTTGTGAGAGGAAGGCTGCTATTTGCAATAGAGTTTCTGCTTTTGTTGTCAACCAACATGTTTGGTTCTGAATTTTATTGGCAGTTTTGGGATGCTCTGGGGATTTTCTCCCCCCCCCCCCCAAAAAAAGTCTGGGTATTCTCTGTGGATTCAGACTGCAACTTCAGCCAAATTATTCCATCATAAGAAAGATGTCCATGCATAACAAAGAGTTCTCGTTGATTCCAACATGGAATTCAAGATGACAGCTCCTGAGTTGGCCTCCATCTAAGCATTGCCTGTACCCAGTCTTGTGTGCTACTAAAAATATAATCCCTCCCCTTCCCTTCCCTTCCTCATTTTTCTTTTTCTGAACCAGTGCCTCCAGTTTGGGATTAGAGGATGTAAGTCTTGCTTTGTGAGCATGATTCTCTATAAGTATGCATTGGAGATTGTTACAACTTTATCTACCAGCGCTGTTTGTGGGAGGTTTGTTGGTGGTTATTGTAAAATCATCTAAGCCATATCTTTGGAGCCTTGCTTTGGTTAGATAGATTGTCGCAAATTAAACCTTGTTCTTTACTCTTTATATTTCAGTACCATCTTCCTGTGATAGGAGGCTCCTAAGAGGAAACCTTCTACTTATCAATGCACGACCAATGGTAAGTCAGGGTAAATGGTCTTTGCGACTTAGTGTTTGAAGTTATCTTAAATAAAATTGGCTTTACAGGTAGTCCTTACTTAATGACTGCCCTGTTTAGTGATTGTTTGAAGTTACGACAGTGCTGAAGAAGTAACTTCATCCGGTTCTCTCATTTATGATGGTTAGGGTTAGTTTAATTGCAGTCAGTCAGTCTCAGTGTCTCTCTCTCTCTCTCTCATATTGTTGATAGAACTGGAAAATTAGAAGGGGGGGAGAATGGAATGTTTTATTGGGAATGGTTTATTAAAAGGAAGAATTAAATATAGTGCAGTATTTGCAGACTTCTTAAGCACTGCTGGTTTTATCCAGCTATTCATATGTTCTTTTTGAAAACCTGCTCCAACATTTAGATTGGTACCATTTCTTTCTTTCTTTCTCCCCAGCCTACTCCTTTCTTTTAACACCCACCCCTGCCAACAATGATTGCTTTTTTCCCCCTAGTCTGGTAAAGGATGTGTGACTATGGTATTTTAAATCTCATTGTTCCCAAAAGATGCCCAGAAGCAAGGAGCTGTGATAAGGAGAGGAGATTTATTTATTTGTCTGCCTGTGGGGAGGGAATTAATTTCAGTAAAAATAATACATTCTCAGTAAAATTTAAATGTGCTCTTCCAACACAAAAATGCTAAACAATGACCTCACTTTTTAAAGAAGGGTGTAGCATATTTTCACACAATTGTGCTGAGTCCTTGTGCTTTAGCCATTTGAGAGTGTAAAAGAAAGAGTGTATTCAAGTCCTTTTAAAAGAACTTTCCTGGGCAGTGGCCTTTTATGTTTTCCTATAAAAGTAGAGAATGTTTTGCTTTGGTTTGGGTTTTGGAGGTTGTTTGGCTTGTATTCTTATTTGTTCTCCTCCTGCAGTACATTGTCATTGCTGCTTATCTTCATGGCATAATAAGTAGAAGCATATAAGGATTGGTTAGATAGTGTTATTGCTAGAGGCTAACAAACAAGTCACATTGGCCTCAATCAGAGTTGAGTGGAGAAGGAAAAGTGCAATTTGGAGACATGTAGTGCTATGTATATATGAATGGGACTCCTCGTTTAATATAATCTGGGCATGGAATTGTGCAGTTGACTCATTAACAAGTGCCCCAACACTATTTCCTGGTTTTAGAGAACATAGGTGGACATGGTTGTCCAGTGCCAGCCAATGCACATGGCCAGAAGATTAATCAGTAATGTAACCAGTCCCAAAGTAATCATGTATTTCGTTTAATGTCAAATTGCTATATACTGATAAGTACTTTGCAAAATGGAACATTAATTGGAACTTTCTAAAGCAATTCAGTTTTAAAGGTTGTACTACACCTTTTCTTTACATCGGGTTTTCCCAGCCTTTGCAACTTAGATGTATCTCTTCAACTTCCTGGATTCTCAACAGTGACCATGTTGCCTGGGAAATTTCAGGAATTGAGGCTTAATTTGCTTAACTTGGAGACACTGATTTATATTGTTAGACTTCTCCAAGAAACATGTCACTTGCTCCTACTTTTTGGAACTATGCTTTATGAGTACAGTGGTACCTCTACTTACGAACGCCCCTACTTACGAATTTTTCGAGATACGATCAGCTCTG